CATTCAAACACTCGGCAGCATTTTATCATGTGGCTGAGAGTCCAGCTGGAGACACAGGAGACAGAGGTGTGTTTGTCTTCTTGCAGGACCAGCTCTTAAAATCTGAACAGAGGAAAAAAGAGACGTGAGCTTTGAGGTAAACGTGTGTGAGCTTTGATTCCTGCTGCAGCGTTTCTCAGACCGCTGTGTTCTGTTGTGGTTTTCCAGAGGAGGAAAACAGTGATTACTGCTGTGCACAGACATGTTTGTTACCAACATGGTGGAGCAGCATCTGACACACAGGCTGCAGGACAACAGACTGGAAACAGCTGCTGCAGCAGTGATTGTATTCCCAAAATTAAGAGTTGACCAGCAGATACTCTGACCTTTGACCTCAGAATCACTCTGTTAAATGTGAACACACAGACTCTCTTTAAGGAAGTCACAGTGGAGAATAAACATCCATGAATCCTTCCTGAGGACGTTCCTTCAGGATCTTGGTGTTTTTAAGTTTCTTCAGTGTCACGATGATCCAGTGAAGGTGTCTGCTCATCCATGATACACTGAAAACAGATGGGACAGTTTGACATGGGGCTGGATGATTAATCTAAATCTCTGTTTGATTCTGACGATCACGAAAACAAGATAATCGATAAAGCGATTATTGCGCTGCATTCTGTTTCTCAACAAATTTCACCCCCATTTACTTGGTTACGTTTCACTGCTGCCAGTGTCGATGTGTTGTAGTTCATCTTATTTATTTATTTTTATACATTTTTTGTTGTATATATTTAGATATTATATATTTATTTATTTCATTTTTTAAATTAGTTTTTCTGTTGAATTGTATTAAAAGTTCGAGAGAGTCCACAGTTAAAAAGTTTAATAAATGTGTGGAGTTTCCAAAGTCAATGAGTGACGGTGTAAAACAATCCTGATCTCAGTATTGATCAAAATGATCCTGATTCTGATGTTTACCATAATCAATCAGCTGTAAACCAGATGTGAACAGATGCAGGCTGAAGATCTCCATCTGAGTTAAAGTGTCACATCAGCATCGCTGTCGTCTCTGACTCTGTAGAGGAAGTGAAGGAGGCGTTTCCTGTTTCGGAGGAAAAGACTCACAGGTCAGAGGTCAGAGGTCGCCTTTGTTCAGATTAAACCATGTGAATGTGTCAATCGCTGAGGCACTGTGTTTGGAAATGAAGCAGTCATCCCATCCAGTGATGTGTCATCATCCTGTGGCGTACATTATCACACAGAGACCTCAGTGTGATGTCACATCCTGTTTCAGGTGTGGTGCCCTGCGGTCGGACACCATCTGACTTCTCATGCGCTTCATCTGTAGCACCAGGGACCCATGGCTTTTCTTCCACTTTTATTCTCTCAACCTCAAGGAAACCTGCTGCTCTTTGGCTCCTCCCACGAGGTTTAAACCGGCCAATGAGATGATTTATGTTCAACTGTGGAACATCTGCAGAAAGTGGATGTGCTCTCTGAGCCGTCCTCACGGTGGAATGAGACGTTGATGCAGGTTTTTCTAGAAGGTGGAGAGTTGTACAAACAGAGGAGACGCCACGCTCTGATTTATGGCCGTTTTAAAAGCGAGGGCCTCGCGACGCCTGAAGGAACATATGCTTCTCCTCCTCCTCCTCCTCCTCCTCCTCCTCCTCCTCCTCACACTGAGCTGTGAAACGCATGGCGACACGCTGCTGAGCTCCAGCTCCACGTCTCCTCCTGAACCCAGAGACGTGTTTAAACCACCGAGATTTATTGTTTCTGCTCCCACTTTAAATAAAGTCGGTGTCCAGTTTGCAGAGCAGAGTTTACAAGTGTTTATACAGTGTGTGTGTGTGTGTGTGTGTGTGTGTGTGTGTGTGTGTGTGTGTGTGTGTGTAGCAGTGTTTTAGGGTGTGATTGTTTGGCCTCACTGCTTGAGCAACGAGTGTGTGTAAGGCAATACAGTAAGCATTTCAGTCAGTGTGTATTGTCTGTGCACATACAACGTGGCCTGGAGTGTGATCTTTCAGCTGCAGTGTGCTTGAGATATGAGAGCGTGTGTGTGTGTGTGTGTGTGTGTGTGTGTGTGTGTGTGTGTGTGTGTACCCTGAGCTGGATTGGATGTAAATCAATTTCCCAAATAATCAGGATTTTTGTTTGAATGATCCAAATTCCAGAGACAGTGAACGCGTCCGTCTCTTTCTTGGTGTGAATATAAACATGTCGACTGATGAGTAAGAAGAAATGTTCTGATGTGTCGTCATCAGATTTTATTTAACTCCAGGCTTTAAAAACAGCTAATCAGTGTATCCAGATAAATCAATAATATAAAGGATCAGCGGAGGATGATCTGATCACTTCCTGTCATCGCTGACCTCAGCTCAGAGTCTGTGGGTTGAACTTCCCTTCAGCTGCTGATCGTGTCAGACAACATAGAAAATAAATGACTTCCTGTCTGAACGTACAGTTGGTACGTGAAGCCATTTGTGCACAAAAAATCAATCAATATCTAATACACCGATCAGTCCATGTTCAAATCCAGACTCAAAACTCAACTTTTAATTTGTAATAATGTTGTGTTGTATATTTTGTTTTTTTAAGTCTTATTTAAACTCATGTAAATCATCTTTGGGTGTTTTACATATGAATAAAATGTATTATTATTATTATTATTATTATTATTATTATTATTAATGAGAATAATTCCTTTAAATTTGCTGTAAACTCTGAGGTTGTTGAACAGAATCTCTTTGTGTCTGAAGACGTCACCGTGGACTTTTCTTCTGACAGTTGATTGGTTTAAAATGCGCAGTGAGACGGAGCGTGTCCTCGTCAGGAGGTGAGTGCAGGTGTGAGGATGAGGAGGCTCGACCGGTTGTGAACAAACAGTCGTCCTGTTGTCCGGAGTCAGAGCTGCAGCTGAACTTACGTAACGCAGGAAGAAAAGAGGGAGAGCAGCAGCGTCGCTCATGTGGACACTAATGAGCGGGAAACTGGCAGGTCAGAGTCAGATTTCATAACTAACCCACTGATCCAGTTTAACGCCAGACCTGGAGTGGGACTCGGCCGCTGAGGGGGCCTCCCGCCACCTCCCAGAATGCCCTGCTTCATGTCCCCGGGCAGACGGGATGTGATCAGGATTGTTATGAAGCAGACTCTGAAGTGTGAGCTCAGAAAACAAATATTTTCTGTCCCTTCACCCTGATCTGATTTTAAAAATAAAACCGACCAAAAAAGGTTTGAACCCGTCGACTGAGGCGGAGGATGTTGACCTTTAGATAGAGAAGAAAATGTTTGAGAATTATGTCATGAAATAATATTAGAAATATGTTTTATATATGGTTTAAATGTGGTTTGCTTAAATAAACTTTTTCTGTATTTACATGGGACATTTACAAAAACAGTGAAGAAACAAATCCCCAGGAGAAACAAGAATTTCTTGATTTTCATTAATAAAACAAACTCATATTTTTCTGCATTAACTGTGATCAGATATTTTAGCTCCTTCATTCTTTAACAAGTTTTCTGATTTAGTATTTGAGAAATTTTTATTCCCCCTTACTTTTTTGAATTGTGGAGAAAAGGAGGATCTTCAGTCTCCAGGTGTTTAAAGGTGAAGCTAAACTCTGGATCCGAGCAGATGTTTGAGTGACATCATCTCTGCCTTGAACTCAGTGGTTTTAGTTGTGACGCTGCTTCTTTAAAAACTTTTATGTAAATGTGTCAATGAAAATGAAAATCTGCAACCAGAGAACCATCAGAATAATTATTTTGTTCGAGCTCATAGAAAGTGTTTACGTTTCCGTGACAGCGACCTCTAGTGACCTCACTCGTCAATGATAATATCAAAAATAAAGGAGGAGGTAGCGTGCTGTTGTTATGGCTCCACAGGCTCCGCCTCCAAAGCAAAAACTGAAACTTACTATTTTTTTTTTTTTTTAACCTAATGTGAGTTACAGTTGAATAATAAAAGAGCTGAACCACCTGAAAACCTGTCGTCATTATTCAACTTATAACAAACACGTCATCTCAAACAGCTGCAGACACTAAACTCATCTGCTGCTGCTTGTGTCTGAACATCAGTCTGACAGACGCTTCGCTGGTTCATTAGTTCGTTAGCTGCTGAACCCGGCAGGTCGGGACAGACTGGAATCCACCGCTGCTCATTAGACTGTGGAGGCTTTGACGCCTCGTTACCAAGGTCACGGACGATCGATAGCAGATCAATGAGCAGAGTGGTTTGTCAGTCAGCACGTGACAGACTGACAACAGCTGATGTAGCAGCTATCGTCTGTTACTGTCTGTGAGTTTCACAATGTACATTTTGTTATTTATTATTTATTCATTATTATTCCTGAATTTCCCCCAGGAGATACATAAAGTAAATATCTATTTTATAAAATCATGAAACAGTTCAATTTCAGATTAATCAAATTAATTGGAGTAATCGTCCTCGCCTCATTTTAACCAAGTAGTTCCAGCTGATTAAACGTGACTTTAACCTGAGAGGTGTCCGATCATTTAAACTCATGCAGGTTTTATCAGACGATGACGAGCTGGAGGATGTTTTCATTTGATATTGATCATTGGTATTTCTGCTTTATGACAAATATTAGGGACAAATTAAGGAAAAAAATCTGACATTTTGAGAATAAAATCATATATCAAGAAAAAAGTCATTACAAGAGCAAAGTTGTACATTTTACAAAAAAGTCATAATAAAAAAAAAAATTCTCTTGAAATTTTACATTTTTAATTCTCATAATATTATGACTTTATTCTTGAAATATTGAGACTTTATTCTTGAAATATTGAGACTTTATTCTTGAAATATTGAGACTTTATTCTTGAAATTTCAGATTCCTTTTTTTATCTCAGTCTGGCCCTAATACTTTGTCGTACTACTTAAGTCCATCACTGGTTTGAAAACAAACCTGTCAGACTCTTCAGTCTGTTCTTTGTTTGTTTGTTGAGGCCATCACTGAAACTTCTTCTTCTTCTTCTCTTCCTGTCGTCATCAGAAGAAAAGCAAAGGCAAGAAGGGAGAGAAGACTCAGAAAGACAAGAGCCGCCGAGATGAAGGAGGTGAGTGGCTTATAAATATATCTCTATTTGACTCTGGGTTTCCTCCTCCGACTGTTCTCAGCCTCGTTACTCTCACTTCCTGTTTTCTTGTCTTGAACCAAAACAAGACCGATGTTGGTCCATACAGCTGCTAACATGACTAATGTGAATATTATTATTATCTTTTTCTGCTGCTCACATATACAGTGTCGCAGGGAGGATGTATTTTTGTAGTCCACCCCTGAAGTTAGGCATCAAACAAGGTTGACAGGTTTAGTTCAGCAGGATCATCTTCACTAATGAACATCACTTTAAGATGTTTGAAGCCTCAATACAATCAGCTGAAGTAAAAAGCTGATGTTTGGCCTTAAACCAGTTACAACACAGTCACATGACTTCAATGTCACAACCACTCAACTTCAACTTGTAGTTTGTTTTGGAATTTAAGCATCTTTTCAGAACGGTTAGCAAAATTAGCATCTTTTCAGAGCGGTTAGCAAAATTAGCATCTTCAATCACCTATCGTTTCACTTGGTCATGAGTGTTTTCCATGCAGCTGCGATGATGCTAAATTCCTCCACACCGCCACTCATTTATAAATCTGTTTCATACTGTCAGTTTATTATTTAGCCTCAGATGATGTTCCATCAACACTCTCCTCTGTCCGTTTATATACAGATATTTACTGTAAGATGAAAACATGAACATAAAACCTGCTCTCCAACATGTCTCGTCAGGTATTTCTACAGTTAGAAGCCTATATGGTAAATATATGTTATATGTCGTGACCAGCGAAGACATGATTACTGACATCAGCCTGTAATCAGGTGAAAACAGTCGGCAGTTAAAAACAATCCACAAAGATTCAGATCAGCTGGCAGGAAAAAATAATGTGATTAAATGAATGTGATTAAATAAGAAGTGGCAGTGATTATCAGCTGCAGCTCCAGAGTTTCCCAGAACAAAACATGACAATCACCAAAGTGTGACCTCACCCAGGAGAGAACCAATGAGAGAGAGACGAGACAGGTAGAGGAGGGAGCAGAAGAAGACACAGAGGAAGAGGAGTTTTAGACTGTCTGTGTCAGAAGTGTTTGAATGAATCTTCAGTGTGAGGCTCTGACTCATGACTCGCTGCGCTGAGCGTTCACTTCCTCCTGTTTACGAGCAGAAACCACTCGTTCACAGCAGGAAGGTACGAACACACTGTCGTCATCTCTCTGTGACTCACGGAGCTCGACCTGGAAAATAAAGAATACTGAGAAAATCCGGTTCCTGTTCTATAGCTTTTCAAACTTGTTGATTTAATATCTCAGTTTGGATTTAGTTTCCAGACTCTCTAATAAATTAAATTTCTCCACAAAGGATTCTTTTTTTTTATTTAACAGAAGAAGCACAGAAGAACTAAAATGAGCAAAATTATGATTTAAATAAGGAAATATCTGATCAGAGAAAAAGCAAATGAGATTATGAATCAGTCCAGACATTCAGCGCCACCTTTCCACAATGGACTCTTTGATGAAGCATTGAGATTTAATATCCGTCCCTTCTTTAATCCAGTTCATCCCTAATACACATCACTTCTTTAGATTTAAAGCTCCTCCAGTGTAAAGGTCTGTGTCCATGTGTAGTGTGATTATAGATCAGCTCTAGCTTCTATATTAATACTGTGAAAGTATCAAAGCCTCAGTCCACAGAGAAATGCACACAGCCTGTATTCAGAAACTGAGCCTTAAAACCAGCCGTCAGGACTTCTGGAACTTTGTGATGTCACAACAAAGCAGTCACCAAGCCCCGCCCACCTGGACCCACCATCCAAACCTTGCAGGATTTGGTTTCTCTGAGTGTTTTCACCTGAAATCTGCTATATTTTTATTGGATCACTCAGAAAACAGTCAGCCAATCAGAAGAGAGGCTCAGAGCCTCCTCTCTTCTGATTGGCTCACTGACCTGTTGTTACTAGAGCTCCAGAGAGAAGCCTGAGAGAGGAGATGTGAAACTACACTGAGATGGTTTTCGGTTCTTAAAATAAATAGAAATAAATATAGCACCTTTCATACAAGAAATGTAATACAAAGTGCTTTACAACAAAGGAATGAAAAATGCATCACATGAAAAGACATAAAATGAACATAAAAACATGCATGTAAAATGAAAAACATAACCCTAAAAACAATGTAAAATTAGATGGAATAATAATAAAATAATAAATGAAATAATAGATAATGAAAAAAATGACATAGAAAGCATAAAATCAGTAAGACATCAACACAGCAGCATTTAGTGCTGAGCAAAGGATTTCCGAGCTGGTTAAAGGCTTTAAAAGCTGAAGTTTTTATCTTTCTTTTAAAAACACTCAGTGAGCTTCTTCTTCTCTGATATCTGCAGGTTGTGTCCCCGATGGTTAAAGAGTTAAATTAACTTTTATTTTGGAGTTCCTCATGGAACAATCCCGGGTCCCTTCATGTTTTCAGTCTGAGGAACAGTTATGTGTCTTCACAGGGTCTGACAATAAATATATTTACATGTTTGACTGCTCTTAAACATTTTTATCAAAGCGTAGAAGTATTTTCTTCGCAGGTATCACTAATACAACAAATTCATTTATCACCTCATTCTCTGTTTGTTCCTCATGACGATCACACGTCTCCTCCCTGAGAGACAAAGCTCTGTGTCTCAACGGTCAAATAACAGCTGAATAAAACTAAATCTGCTCTTTGTTTAAAATCAGTTCACCTTGAGACACGTTCAAACCTGCTTCTCCTCAATATGAACTGACGTTATGAGAAAAGAAAACATCAGTTCTTCTGTAAATATGAAACATTTTTTTACCGTGTTACATCACATACACACATTTTAAACCTCCACCATGTTACTGCAAGTTTTTGAGTTTTTTCCTAAAGTAGAAAGTTTGAGACATCAGAGATGTTTTTAAGATTGAAGCCTGAAGACATCTGGTCCATCCACACTGAAGACGTCATTGAAAGTGTGTGTGTGTGTGTGCGTGTGTGTGTGTGTGTGTGTGTGTGTGTGAGTGTGTGTGTGGGTGAGAGAGAGAGAGAGAGAGAGAGAGATCATGTGTCTACATGTCGATGATGTAACTGACAGGCTGATATTAAATTAGTCAGAAAAACTTCCTGAACGTTGATCTGCAAATTCAGGTGTGTGTGTGAGAGTGTGAGTGTGTGTGTGTGTGTGAGAGTGTGTGTGAGTGTGAGAGACAGAGAGAGAGATTGTTGTATGTCTGTTTTTCAAATTTCCATGATGATGACATCATATCTCTGTGAAGTTTTGTGTTAACCCTTCGACGTCTGTCACTCAAACATCAACTTTTAATATGAAATCCATGATGAGATATAGAGCTGTCAATGATTAATCAAGTATTGGTAATAACCATCAATAATTTAATTGATTAAAGATCTATTAGACGCTGCAGAGGATGAGGATGTGGTGTAAGTGCAGTTTGCTGTAGTACTGAGTTGTGCCACAAGTCAGCGCCTGAGATGAGTTAAATATATGATAAAACAAACTTACCATCCAAAGAAGAAGAAGTGTCTGCGCTCACGTCATGAGAGACAACAAAGAATAAGGATATAAAATTATATTGTAATTATTTGTTAATTTATGTTTTTTAAAGGAGTTTTGTTTTGGTTCTACGTTTACATAAAGAAGAGAACTCACCTGTGCTCTCTGATCTCTGATTGGTCTGTCTGCAGGTAAACGAACGTCAGGTGAGCAGGACGTGTGTCTGGAGAAGCAGCTGGAGCGCTTCGAGTGGCAGCTGAGGACTTTGAAGGAAGTGCTCTCGGCCAATGGGAACCCAGAGAGGGCGGAGCTTCTCAAAGACCACGCCGACGAAGATGTGTGCGCCCTCGTCCTCAGCATCCTGGACAAGGTGAGAAGAAGAAGACTGTAATTGAGTAATTGAAGAGTCAATAAAATATGTAAAAACAATAATTTGGGATAAAACAATATAAATATTTATATTTTTATATTTACAACCACTAAATTCTTAATATTTATTTTTATATTTGCACATTTACAGAAATTCCTACTTTTCATTTGCATGTTATCATATAGTATTTCTAATTTATCTAATTTATCTTATTTATTCTAGAGTTTGTTTCTATTCTTGTTTTAATTAAGAGATTTAAAGGAAGTTAATGAGTCACAGCTTCTGATTTCAGTTCCAGTTTTTTTCTTTGTTTTTTCAATAAACTCCGTGTTTGAAAGTTTTTCTTTCTTTTTACATTTTAACTTCAGGTTTTTATTGATGCTCAGGTGATTAAGTAATTACAGTAATCAGAGTTTTAGCTGCTGTTAACACTCCAGAGTCGTCAGCGCTTCTTCGTTAGTTGATCTTCTCTTTTACACTGAGTTCATTTTGTTGTGATGTGATTTTCAGGTGAAAACGGAGACGACGGCCGATTTAAACGTCCTGCACGAACAGAAAAGTAAAAGTGCGACTGAGGAACACGAGAGACACGTGGACGGTAACACGCTGCGCATGTTTCCATCATGTATTCACTTATGAATGTGTTCAACACATTTCACATGATGTCCAGATCTTCACACATGAGCTGTTGCACAAAAGACACATGAAGTTTTATTTTCCTCGTGTTTCGTTGTGAACACATGAATTCATGTGCTGCGTCTGTGACGTCGTGTCGACAGTGAACATCTCAGTGTGTCGGACGCACGTCCAGGTTTTCTATAATTAGCGTGTAGCCATGGAGCTAACAGGCTAATTATAGCAGAGCTGAGCCTGATGAAAGTCGAATCAAGTCTCGACAGTGAACCTTTCATAAGGAGGTCACTCAGTCCACCTTAAGTACATGAGCAGATGTGAGCAGCTACAATCAGCTTCAGCAACATCTCTGACTGGATGCTTCAGCTGTAGCTGCGTGTCCCTAATAAACTGACGCTTGTTTTTCATTTCAACAGGAACTATGAACAAACTAAAACTTTCCTAAACTTCTCGCCAGTTGATGAAAATTCAGTTCATGTTGATGTCAAACAGGGAGCTGGGGGTGGGGGGGTGGGGGACAAACCTTCTGTACTGAGTTTAGGTGACCTGTCCTCTGGCGCCACCCTCAGGACAGGGGGGGGGGAGGGGGCTCAGTGACTTGGGGGCCTAAATGTGTGTGATGTGGTTAAAGACGTAGGACAGAGAAAACACATCATCACAGCAACAGGAATAAAAGAAGAAGTAAAAATAGAAGTAAAAAGCTTAAAAAGAAAACAGTGTAAACACAGAGTATAAGACGCAGAATATCTCAGTGAAATGCAGAATGTTTCTCCTGAAGCTTCAGACTGAGAGAAAACATCTTCAGTCTCTGAGCAGCTTCATGATCAGAGTGAGGAAAGGAGCTTCACTGCTTCCTCTCTCATCTCCTTTAGGAAACACTGGAGCTTCCTTTGCCCAAGGAAAGGAGACATGCCGTCCCACAATGCCTTGCTGCAGCAACATTTAAAACCACAGCAGAGCCACATAAATGTAGAAACATCAGAGCAGCTGTTTCTGTCTGATGGACTGAAGCTCAGATCCATAAATATAGATTCATTCTCTTTCATCAGTCAGGAGTCGCCATGAAGAATGAGCTGATGAATCTATAGTTACATCATCATCATCATCATCATCATCATCATCATCATCATCATCATCACAACTAAACATACATGTCGTTTCAGAACTGCTCACTGCTTTAAAATATGAATTTTCCTCTACTTAACTCACTCAGTTCACTTACTCAGTTCATTATTTCTATCCATTATTATTTTAATGGTTCTACTTTAAGTATTTTTCTTTCATGTTTTCTTATTTCAACATTTCATCCTGTTTGTTTCTGTGGTTAAAGGAGGATTGATCGTCGTCCAGGTGTTATAAATAAAGTTATAAATAAAGTTAGCTCAGTGTAAGTTCAGTGAGATTCTTCTCTTCTTTGACCTCATGATGTTTTCCGTCGACGTCGAGGAGACGAGGTCAGAGATAATTTTGACTTCTTGACCTCAGACTTGATCTCCATCGAGCTGGTTCCAGCTGGTTCCAGCAGGGGGTCATGTGACCGGGACGCCCTCAGTCTTTCAGAAGCTCTGACTCAGTTTATCATCAGCTGTTAATATATGATATCCTGTAGAATACAATGAAAACAATTCACACCACATACGAAGATTAAGTTAATGTTTATATATGTAACTATGACTGTGTGTGTGTGTGTGTGTGTGTGTGTGTGTGTGTGAGAGAGAGACTCATTGTTAAAGTGTGTGTTTGTGTCGTTCCCTGCAGAGCTGCAGAAAACCCACGAAGAAGACAAAAATCAGCTGACGGAGACGTTCCGCGCAGCTGAGAACGTCCTCACGGTGAGTGTGTGTGTGTGTGTGTGTGTGTGTGTGTGTGTGTGTGTGTGTGTGTGTGTGTGTGTCAGTCACATGACTCAGTGTTCATGTGGTGGTTTTCACCCTCTGCTGTGGCTGCAGGCTGAAGTGGATCAGCTGACGTCGGAGCTGCAGGTTTACAACGAGCTGAAGAAGAGAGTCCAGGAGTCCACGTTCAAGAAAGACCTACAGAGAAACATCCAGGTGTGTGTCAGGCGTTCACATCTCGTCTGGTTCAGTAATCAACTTTAATTAACCGTAATAAGCTTCTTAACAGGTTTAAATTTCAGGCTAATTAATAACTTGATAACTTGATTCAGAAAAATTCAAAGCAAAGAAAATGATCGTGATAAAGATAAAATAATAAAATACTAAAACAGCACGTGTATTAAAGTGAGTAAAACCAGAAATAAAAGTAGAAATAAAAGGAAAACAATCCAGAAAATAATCATAGAATAAAAGGACAAAACAATAAAACAGCTTCAAATATATGAATAAGTAAAGATAAATAAATACAAATAAATAAAATTCAATTAATTGTCAATTAAAATCTAGATTAAAAAAGGACAAACTTCTTGTTGTCGATAAAATGTGTTTACACGATTAAAAGTTGTCATTATTCAGAAAGGTCCTCGTCATGTTACACCTGTTTATTAGAGCCTATTATATTTTAGTTGTTAAGATCAAACAACAAACAAACAACAAAAGACATTAATACAACAGTTCAACAACAACAAGCAAAAGAAAGGAAGGAAGGGAGTTAAACACAATTGATGGAGATTATTTTATAAAAAGACTTATTATTCAAACTCATAAAAATTAAATTTTTTCCTCTGAAATGTTTTTAATTATAAGAAGCAAATTAAACACAAATAAATTAAATGTTGGTTCCAAATTAAATGAATGAATTCAGTCATTTTTTGTTCCAGCTTCAGTTGAAACACGTCAGAGCTGATGACGATGATGTCACACACATATTGACATGTCTCTTCCTCCAGGCCCACGGCAGCCCAGGTGCATTCTGGGAGTCGGAGCAGGAGTCTCTGCTGTTCGTCATCGAGATGAAGAGTGAGCGTGTGCAGGACCAGAGCAGGAAGCTGCAGCAGATGGACGATCTGGTTGGTTGCGCTGAACGTTTACACTTTCACTTCAATCAGATCTGTTGTTCACAGTTTGTTTTCATCTCCTCCTCTGCTCCCTCCCTCCCTCCCTCCTGTTCTCCTCATCCTCCTCCTCCTTCACCTGTTCTCAGGTGGAGAAGAACTTGTCTTTGGAGGATCAGATAATCCACATCCTGCAGCAGAACGAGGATCTGAGAGTCCGGATCGACAACTGCCAGACCCTGATTCAGTACGTGACTCCAGACCAGAACAGAGAGTTTTAACAGAAGCTCAGTCTCCAACATTTTTTACACATGGACGTGGCGCCACCTGCTGGATATTGTCCGTCTGCTGAAACACAAGAAACACAAATCCTGAACCTGACGAACCCGAGATAAAACCGTTTCTGTTCTTTAAACCTTTGAATCTGAGTCCTGGTGCTGGTCTCTCCTGGAAGAGAACTAGGAATTATTGTACCTTAGATAAAATGAATCAAAACCCAAATAACTTTAGTGCTGAAAACTGATTGCTAAAGATCCTGAACCCCACCTTCTTATTAACTTTGACCTGATTTTACTGGATCCCTTTGATCCCTAACAATAATCATTTGAACCCTTGTTTCCCAGGCAACTGTCGAAGGAGCAGCAGGACCTGAAGGTGGCGCTGGAGAGGCAGGCGACGGTGAACCAGAAGCTTTCTCAGGAAAAAGAGCAGCTGATGTTCAAACTGAGACACAGAGACTCGTGTCCGACCATCCACCTGCCCCCCATGGTGCAGGAGATCGCGCCCAGATGACTCTGGATCCTCAGAGTCCTCCATGTAGATAGACACCAGACTCTGTGTTGGACTGTAATTATACTCAAGGTAACCTGCAGTGACCCGGTTTACTCTGCTGCTCTGGGTCCAGGTTTAAAGACTCTAATTGATTATTGTAACATGATCCTGGACCCACCACAGTCCCTGAGGTTTCACTGCAGCAGCTGGATCCTCTGTGTGTGTGTGTGTGTGTGTGTGTGTCTGTGTGTGTGTGTGTGTGTGTGTGTGTATGTGTGTGTGCGCACTGTATCGAGCCAGACAACAGTTTCGACCTCAGATCATCCGCTCTGCTGATCTGATGTCCGTTCATCCGGGTTTTCGTTTTCATTCTTTTACTGACAGATTATTGATGACGGTTGAACCGGTTTGAACTGGTCCAACGTCCAGACCTGACTTCAGCTGTCGTTTAGCAGACAGGCTAGCTGATGCCTTCGCGTCTGTTTTCAACTCGACCACATCAGGACTATAAAACTGGATGTTGTGACTCAGCTGATACGAGACCTTCCTCTGGTTCTCTGTTCCCTCGTCGGTTAGCACTGCAGCGTTCACATTTCACAGAAGTCCAGCTCTTCATGAACAAACTCACTACTTGTTTTATAAAATGTTGGCGTGACTGGGGCGTCGCACTGTATAGTTCTATGATCCACCTGTCCGCCAAAGTGCCTGAGACCACAATCAGACATAATGACGTCCAGCTGGATCTTCTGAGCCGGTGTTGAAAGAAACCTTTTCTGTTTCTGCAGCCAACGTGGTTTACCTCCAAATGCTGATGTTTCAAACTCTTCCAGTCCTCGTACCAGGCTGACTCCACATCCCTGTGGTTCATGAGGAGGATGCCAGACTACTGTATTTTCCCAGGGAACATCAGTTTGAAAAGCTTGTCTTGCCGTCTTTCACTGTCGGACACTGAGCATCTTCTCCTGGGCTCTGAGGACGAGTTCCTTCCTGAGCAGTATCAGGATGGTATTTGAGAAGCTGTTACTGATCCAGTTTTCCCATAACTGAGTTTAGAGTTTACGTGTCACTTCAGGCTGTTGATGGTTCAAACCAATCCAGTCACAAAGTGAAGAAATTTAAGAAAGAACTACTTGATGTTGGAGGCACCAGACACTGAAAGCTTCAAATGTTCCCCAACGACTGCAATCATTAGATCCGTAAAGGTCTGTGGGGTTCCTTCAGACCCTGTTAGTTTTTAATTAGTGCTGATTGGAGGTTGGCGTAAGAAGGACTGCAAGGAGCCAATGAGCATCTAAGAGATCCTCCACAGACCTCAGGTGGTTTTAGAGGACCTCTACCCTCTGATTGAAAACTAGGACCTTTAAAAGGTTCTTCTTGCTCAAGCGTAGATTCAGTCGGTTACACCAGGACGTTCTGAACCTGTCAACAAACCAATCAGAGCCGAAACAAACCCACGTAGACTGTGACTTTTCTCATCCTATTCCAACCTGAAGCCAAATGTTTGACTCTTTTTCTGCGCATGTGCCTTGTAAACGTCACTGCTCTGTTCACTGAGGCTGTTGGGCTCGCTTCCATCTCAACATCAGATGTAAAAACACAGTAAAAACACAGTATTCAGGAGTTTGAAAAACAACCGTGTTGAACTGTCAAAGTATTTTGAGGGTTTGAAAGTGTTTGAGCCTCAGAATCAAATCAGTGACTTTCAGTTTTATTCAGTGAAAGACATCGAGTCTCTGTTTTCATCATGCTAGTGTCTCAGCTTGGAGGCTGCCAATGTCGACAACATTTGGATTTGGATCATTATTCATTTTTTTTCATTCATCCAGTGAAACCTCCAGGTGTTAGCGCCCTCTACACACCTCCAGCACTAATGACAGACTCCATATTAGCTTCCCTGTTAATGCTTATCTGCTAATTGTTAGAATTTGAACATGTTAAATAATCTGTAACATGTTTCATGCTAACTGTGAACCTGGTTACATCCAGAAATGATGAAGTGTTAGCATGTAGTAAAGTGCATGTTGACATGTTCCTGTTTGCATATTAGCATTTAGCACAAATTACAGACAAAGTACAGCTTGGAGTGGTAAAAGCTGAGTTGAGTGTTTAGCTCCACTAGTGGTAAAAAAAAATTATACAATCACAGTATTTACAGTTTTTCAGCTTTTGAAAAAATCGTGCAGTTGCTAACATAGCTACAAACTTTGAACAAATCGTGCAGTTGCTAATGTAGCTGCAGACTGAACAAATCATGTGGTTGCTAACGTAGCTACAGACTTGAACCAATTGTGCAGTTGCTAACGTAGCTGCAGACTTTGAACAAATCATGTGGTTGCTAACGTAGCTACAGACTTGAACCAATTGTGCAGCTGCTAACGTAGCTGCAGACTTGTAGCACACAGTCGTACCAGGCGGTGACTCACTGAGCTGTCTGAACATGGTCCTGGAGGTTTAGGTGACTCACTGGAATACCTGGTGAGCTTTTGCAGATGGTGAGCTAGCCGCTAACATGATAGCAAGCCAAAAATAGGTCAACAATTTAGCTAGCTAGCTTGCTGTCAGTTAAAATCTGCTGTGCTCATGTCTTACAGAAGTTAACATGATTTTTAGTTTCCATCTTGTAAACATGGTGACGTTTAACAAATTCTCCTGAAACCTTTGATCTTCTATTAAACAGAAGTGCCTGAAAAAGACGAAATTTCATGTTTGCAGTGTTGTGTGGTCGGTCCACAGGATTTTAACCCTGACATGAGTGACTCAGTGACACTGGAAGTTGTAAGCATGGAAATCTGCTCCAGTATCAGTTAGCAAGCCGACTAGCTCAGCTGTTAGCGATACAGGAAGTTAAATCAGTAAATTAAAGGCCGGGCTCCTGGTTGTTGACTGACTGACTGACAGACCATGATGCATCTGTTTAGTGAATCTCCAGCAGAGTTTGGAGACACTGGATGATGAAGCAGCTTCTAGGCTCAGTGGAAATCATCGGGGAGTGAACAACGGTGAAAGTGTGAGCGTCAGTTAGCTTGAGAGAAATCTCTACTTACTTTTCCACTGTGTCACTTCATCACAGTGAACGGAGTCTGCTCAGAAATCTGTCTGTTGTGACTGAGTCTCTGTTACTGTCATGATGTTTAAATCATATTCTATAACGACTTTATAACCAGCCACACGACAATAATCACTGTCTCCTTCTCGCCTTTAAAAAGCTCCATAACTTGATATATTTTGATACTTTTTAAAGATGTGAAAAATATTTTGTCAGTTTAATTTTTCTTTTCTTTTTATGACGGCTGATGGGATTTATGGGACGTGACGTTTGCAATTGCCAAAAGAAAAAAAAGAAAAACAACAAAAAAAACGTGTGTGAGTGTTTTGTCCTTCTCCTTATGCACTAGCACTTTGAGCAGTATTTCACCAGGAGTTTGTATAAGAGAGATTTTTGTTCCTTGTTCCATGTATGAAAACGTATTTTATCTTTTCTGGGTTGGATCAGAGTCCAGCTGTTTGTTTTGAACGTGCCTGAGATACACTCAGAAATATATTTCCCTCTCTTTGTTTTTGGCTTGACTCAATAAAAAAGCTGCAACGAAAACTGACCAGCGTGAGTTTAATGTGTGTTTTCCTGAAAGATGAAGCTTTTTTAACTTCAGCACATTCATAAATTAAATCATCATCAAGATTTATAAAATTCTTGGAAACTTTGAACCATTCATTTTTATTTCAGATCAGATCAGATCAGATCAGGATTTCCTGTGCCCCCCCCCCCCCAACTTGTTCCAGCTTGTTGTAGAACCTGCTTCAGTTCTTCAGTCTTCATGAGATCCAGACCGAGTCCATGATGCTGGGATCAGGTCTCTGTGGGGTCCGGACCATCTGCTGCAGGACTCCTGGTTCTTCTGTTCTTTAAGACTCGGACCTGTTGCTGCAGGATGAAGACCCTCAGGTGCAGCTGAGAGCTCAGGAAAAAAAGACTAGTAAGTGCACCATGATGAAGAAGAAATATATCTATTCAACTTGAATGAATTTATTCGATTCCATTAATATGAAGATAAAAAGTTCCATAATAATTTTTTCACTTTAATATTTCAGTCTTTACTGGAGAAAATATCATTTTATAATAATCATAATTATATGAAAATTTTTCTACTGATGCCTCAAAATAAACTATATATTTTTATTTGAAGCTGGGTTCATGTTTGTGGTTCAGCCTGGAAAGTCTTGATCTGCAGGGTTTGTGTTTGAGCTTCAAAGTTTTAAAGTACTATAAAAATCTATAAATGTAATATAATAACAAATAAGTTCATTTATGTGAATTATGTGAATTTGCTAGAACCAGTTTCACAGATCAGTCCTGATGTTGGAAACAGCAGCTGACAAAAACGATCTTCACCTGAGGTTTGCCGGGTCTGGAGCTTTTGACCACATCACCTGGTCTTCATCAGCAGATGGAGTTCGATCAGTTTTCATGAGACTGTAGATGTTCAGAGTTTCCATCCTCCTGACTGTTATTCTGAAAGATTCTCGTCCGTGTTGTTGATTATTTGGTTTAATATCAGAAACCAAAGAGAGAGAAACCAGAGAAAACATGTCACGACAAACGTGAGTTTGTCGACAGGTGACTCCACCTGTTGGTTTCTCCTACAGCTGCTGACGAAGAAATTTCAACAATAAACACAAAGTGACTCATGGAGACGAGGCAGTACACATGTCCCACCACTAGAGAGCAGCAGAGACTCTTCAGACAGTTGGAGGGTTTATATTCTGTCAGCTGTTTTTCTCCTGATCCACTGGTCTGTGTCTCAGTGAGCGACAGTGAACTTTGACCTCTCTCCACCATCCTCTTCAGGCTGTGTAATGTTGTGAGTGACGTGTGCAGCTCTGACACCACACAACATGAACAGCTGTACTCTGCCTGTGGGGGGCGCTGCAGTCCACCAGCACATTCACTCTGCATTGTTTTGATTGTGTTCATGGTTGGATTCACACTGTTTTCACCCGTCACACACACACTTCACTGTGTTGAAGTAAAGACCTGCATCCCTCCCTCCAGGTGGTTTGAGTTTACAGAAGTTCACACCTGAAAAATAAGTATAATAAATAAATAGAGCGACGACCAAGTGTCCATGTGCGATAAAGATCTTAAAGACTGAGACCAGGAGGTTTCTCCTCACTGGTCACCGCTCCTCAGATCCGCTGACCAATCACAGCTCTTCAGGTTCAGCTGGTCCTGAACTGTGACTCTCACCATAACGTGAAATATTACAAACTGGTCTCTCTGTTGAATGGTCATGAACTGTGGACAGTCGGAGCTGCAGCTTCTCACCTGGAAAGAGGAAGATGAGACGAGATGAGATGAGATAGTCCTTCGTTAGTCCTGCTGTGGGGGAATCAGCAGTGTTACAGCAGCAGAGCGAACAATACAAAAGAAATGCACAATGATCTACTTCTCCTCATTTTATCCAGATATTATTTGCTTTAATCAAATGACTCTTTATTCTTAATTATGTTTATCTGATTGTCGTTATCAGTCAAAAGTTGAATTGTTCTCTGTTTTGAAATCTGCCCTGTAATAAACTGACAGGACTTCCTGTGACATCACACTGCCTCACAGCTACAGAAACACCCACATGTGTTTGACCACAGATCTAAGTGTGTGTGTGTGTGTGTGTGTGTGTGTGTGTGTGTGTGTGTGTGTGTGTGTGTGTGTGAGAGAGAAATGCTGAGCGGATGTAAAGGGATCAGTGTGTCCGTGGCTGTTTGACAAGCTGAGACAATACCTGAAACCTGCAGGTCAGCCCCCCCCCCCC